AGAACTACAGCTGAATTACTAAAATAAAGCTTCATAAGATTTTACTTAGTGTTGTTACTATATTACAGATTATATTTGAGAAGGGGTTTCAAGTTTTCAAGACAGAATAGTTGAACTGGATAATATTTTAATATGTTACATTTCTATTCTCCTTTGAAATCAAGAGGTAATATCTGTAATCATTTATTGATGAGAATCGCACAGGAAGATGAATTCAAAATTAACATAAAGGACATTTCAAAAGTTCTGAAATGAAGCAATATTAATATTTCACAAATATATCTTGTATCCTTGTCTTTCTTGTTATGATACCAGAATTATATGTTACTTCTTCTACAACAAAAATTAAATTATTAAAGAGACATGTAAAGAACAAATTAAGATTTCTCACAAAGAATTTTGCCATGTGATTTTTGAAAATTAAACTGGATCAAATTCCTAAAAGATTAAATCTACAAGCCAATCTTCTAATAAGCTCCTCTTTCATTTCTATAAAAAAAATGACTTATTCTCTTTTCATTGTATTTCACAAAGATACAGTGACAAAATTCCATGACAGTTGCCAATTTGAGGGTCTGAGATTAATTCATGGATGCTTCAGACTTTTACCATTGGTATTGTTATCTTAAACTCCTATTTGAAAATATATCATTGAGAATATTTATTCAGAAAGCACAAAGTCTTTCTTAAATATTTTTTGCTAAAATTTCAACCATCCCTTTCTCAAGAGTTCAAAGATCCAAGTATCAAATTTTCATACTTTCAATATCTCTATCTATCTATCTAACTATATATATATATATATATACAGTGCTGTGCAAGAGTAAATGAACACCTAAGATAATATTTAAAATAATTGTCTCTTTCTGTTCGAATTGAGGAATTGGTGAGCTGAGTTTGAAATCCAGTCGAATCCATTACATTCACTTACAAGCTAATATCCTTGGGAAAGGTATGAATCCTCTTTTTCTCCCTCCAGCTATGGGTAAATAGCAGGACAGACCGGGTTCTATGGCCTTGGATGGCAACTGGTCCACCGTAGAAAGAAATGGCAACCTGCTGTGGGAAAAAATCTGCCTTGTCAGTCATGTATCGAAAGATACATGATCACCTAAGCATGTATCACTCATGGCACATAACTGACTGAATAAGTGAAGGAAAGTTAGAAGGAAGGACTAAGCATAAACTACAAGAAGACAGAATGATTGGTCATCAGTACAAGTATGATGCTAAAGTGCAAATTAAAAAATGCGGTTACTAACATCAAACAAGTACAAAAATTTAAATATCTTGGAAATGTTCTAACAGCATATGGAAAGTGTGATTGGTTAAAAAATATTTTTCATGTCATGTGACCTGCTCTCCACTAAATTTGTGCAATTTTTTTGTGGCTTCCTCTGGAAGCTAGTGAACTGACTGATACTGATGTAATGACTTTATTTATACAAGTTGTATTAGTAGTAGTAATATTATCTAATTATTGTCAAGCATCATTCATTTTTGGTTGAGATTTCTTTCATCTTCAATTCAATTGCTATATTTCCACTAGTAATAGTATCTAGAATTTTATTATTAAATCAAGCATTTTTTTTTTACTAATATTTCTTTCATCTTCCTTTCAATTGCTTTATTTCTACTAGTTGTAGTATTAGTAGAAGTAATATTTTCTGGAATTTTTATGAGATAGTGCATTGTAGACCATTATTCCTTTTAGACTAGTATGTTTTTCATTATCATTTCAATTGCTTTATTTCTAAAGGTAGTATATTAGTAGTAATAATATTATTTTGCATTAGATAATGTATTTTCATCCATTATTCAATTTTTATATGTATTTCTTTCATTTTAATTTCACTTGCTTTTCATTGCAACTATAAAGTCTGTCAGTTGACATTAGTAGACAGTGCAAATTGGAAAGAAAGGCACATGATCTTGTATGTTTTTTAAATCAGCAATATTTACAAAAGCTTTTCGATCATTTCATCTCCTTGAGCCAGCAATTTTGTAGGATGAAATTTGACCATTTACACTCATCCTTTATTTTCCTCCATTTTTTTTTAAATTAAAATATATGACTAACAAATATGACCAACAAAAATGTAAAACATTTGCAAAAATTGTATTTTGTTTTGTCAAAAATAATTAAATAAAACACACACACACAATTAATCCAAAATCAATCATTTTAGAATTCTGATTGAATTTAACATCTTGAAGTTATTGTTAAAGAATACTGGAATGCTTGTGATCAAACATTTCATTTTTGTCATGTCTTATTATTTTAATCCTGATTTGTGCTCTTACAAGATGAGAGAAAAGATAAGCCTATTGTGGAAGCATACGTCATCTTGCCCAAACCTGTACTAATCAATCATGCCTTTTAGGTTTTAGACTCATAAAAAAGCATCAAAATTCTATGAATGCTACAAAATAACTTTGACCGTTAATGAATTCCTGCTTGGAATATTTTTTTTGTGTCAATTTTTTTAATATTTTAACAGTATGGCAGCCAACAATAGAATAGCATGTAATCAGCCATTTTGAAAATGGAGAATAAAACCAGCAGATGGCTATCACAAACAGCTTGATTGGAGGAGAATCCACAGGGCAAATAAATGAAAGATAAAAAAATATTTATAACCCTCACATTATGTTGAAAAAAATAATTTCTTTAATATCAAATTGAGGAAGAAGTTGTATAGTAGAAAAATAGAATAAATGATGTAATGTAACATCTTATCTTGTCTTATTCAATTATTATGGGAATTATATATATATATATATATATATATATATATATATATGTATGTATGTATGCATGTATGTACGTGTGTATGTATATATGTCTATAAGTTTTAAAATTCCAAAATGGTGGACAAGCAAGCAAATATTAACATAACTTAATTACATATCATCTTGCAATTTAAATTTGGATTAAAAAAAACACAATATAAAGTTTTTATGAATGCATGTTTAACAAAAAGGCAAAAATACATTCTAATATACAAGAAAACAATATATAGTAATTTGAACCTAGTTATCTATTATCATTTCTTGGGACTTTTTCTAAGAAAATGGTTATTTCCATTAAAGAAAAATATTCAGTACAAATTTCATTTGTGTGAAAATATGCTTCATATGATCTTATCTTTGAATGCATTTTAAAGAATGTTTCGTAAAATTCCTTTTTTCTGATGAATTTAACCTTTCTAAATGGGAAAAACAGTAATGTAATTTACAAATAATTGACATTGTTTACATATCTGATGTTTATGAATAAATCGAGGCTATATTTCAGTCAGTTATGTGCCATATGTGATACATGTCAGTCATATCTTTCAGAACATGACTGACAAGGCAGATTTTTTCCCGCAGTAGGTTGCCATTTTTTTCTGTGGTAGACCAGTTGCCATCCACAGCTATAGAACCCAGTCTGTCCTGCTATTTACCCATGGCTGAGGAGAAAACTGAATTCATACCTTTCCCAAGGGTATTACCACATAAATGAATATAATAGATTTGAATGGAATTTGAACTCGGCTCTCTGAATCCTCAATCTGGGTGCTATCAGTACCATACCTCCCTATATTTACTGGTTCGTAAATAAAAAAGTAAAATCATTTTGAATAGTTTTCATCAGTTTTTCTTTCATATTCATTGCAGTTACCTTCAAAAATGAATAATGCTAACAATTTTTCATCTCATGTTTATTAATAATAACTGCTGATCAGGATTATAAGTTAAAATGTTAACCACTTCTTTATAAAGGGGTTACCATTATTAATTTTTTATGAAGCAGTTAAATAAGAGAGGTAAATTTTTCATCCAATTAGGCAGGGTTAGGGCTATTTATTTACCCTGGTCTCCCCACTGAAACAAGATGTGACACAAGGTCAGGTTTAATGTGGGAAATTCATGCACAAACACTCGGGGCAAAATTACCCAGCCACTGCAACCATTGCTTGCATTGGCATCAGTATGACTACCAATCGCTACTCTCTAGTGCAATGAAGAATGCAGCTACAGGCAGCTGTTCCCTGGGAAATGGCACCTCACAGTTTTTCTTTTCCCCAGCTGCATCTCTATCTGCAGACAGTCACAACTGAGTTACATTCTGCCTGAAAGTAGAGACAAAACTGAGAGATGCGATGAATAATTTGTCATCTAAATTGAACAAAAAATGAAAATAACACTGACATCTCATTTTAACAGGTATATTTACCAAAATTACACCAAAACACTTTGAAATACTAAAGAGCAAATTTATTCAATAAAATCACCATTGGCATCAACCACAGCCTTGGAATTTCCTGCAACTCTTCTGGACAGTTTTCTTGTTTAAGTTGGTAAACACTGCCATAATGCTTGCCTTCAGTTCATCTTTGGTGTTACAAGGAGTTTTCTTGGTCTCTCACTCAACTGCATGCAACACATAATAATCAAGGGGGTTGTGGTCTGGGGCATTATGTAGCCAGATTTAAGGGAGGATTTGGTCACAGAAATTGTCTGACAGCCATGTCTGGATTCTCTTACTTGTGTGACATGATCCAGAGTCCTATTGCCAGACGTAGTGTCTTCCAGAAGCCACCTTTTTAACCCAGGGTAGCACTATCTCAAGGCACTAAAGGCCTCCATGTTGTCTAAGGCCCTCACCAACAAATTTGGGATTTCTTTTCTTATCAGCATGAGTTTTCCAAGTTGCCATACCTCTGTAATCACCATTAGGTTGTCCAACTCTTTCTGAATCCTCTTCTCTGTCTTCTGATTGACACACAAACACTCTGAAATGTTCGTCTTGGAGCTTCTGGTGTTAATGCCAAGCAGTACAGCATGACATTTCCAAATTTCTGGCAGAGTGAATTGCATTGTAGGGCTCTTTTTCTCATGGACAGAGGCTAAATGATCCTATACTATACAGTGCAGACAACAAAAAAATCTAAAACAACATGCATGCACAAAATCAAAAATATGAAATGGCGACAATTTACCCATCATACCTTCTAGATAGATAGATAGATAGATAGATAGATAGATGCATGATAACTGGGAATTCTAAAGTATATTGCAATAAAAAATGGTCAATATATTCCATGAGAACAGAATGATTTTTCTGTTGAATTGCAATATCTACTTTTCTATATGACACAGAATGCTCTCTTCACAGCTTAATCATCCTTGGACAGCATAGATGAAAGTCATGAACTGCAAATTTACTTCTCATTGCAATAAAAATGGTCAATATATTCCATCTCTCTTCATGACACAGAATGCTGAATTCTTCACAGAATTTCACAGCTTAATCATCCTTGGACAGCATAGATGATAGTCATGAACTGCAAAATTTACTTCTCATTGCAATAAAAAATGGTCAATATATTCCATGAGAACAGAATGATTTTTCTGTTGAATTGCAATATCTACTTTTCTATATGACACAGAATGCTCTCTTCACAATAAAAGCTTAATCATCCTTGGACAGCATAGATGAAATCATCCTTGGACAGCATGATGAACTGCAAAATTTACTTCTCATTGCAATAAAAAAAATTTAGAACAGAATGATTTTTCTGTTGATTGCAATATCTACTTTTCTATATGAAAAATGGTCAATATATTCCATAGAGAACAGAATGCAAAATTTTTTTCTATATTTGAGAACAGAATGATTTTTCTGTTGAATATCAATATCTACTTTCTATATGACACAGAATGCTCTCTTCACAGCTTAATCATCCTTGGACAGCATAGATGAAAGTCATGAACTGCAAAATTTACTTCTCATTGCAATAAAAAATGGTCAATATATTCCATGAGAACAGAATGATTTTTCTGTTGAATTGCAATATCTACTTTTCTATATGACACAGAATGCTCTCTTCACAGCTTAATCATCCTTGGACAGCATAGATGAAAGTCATGAACTGCAAAATTTACTTCTCATTGCAATAAAAAATGGTCAATATATTCCATGAGAACAGAATGATTTTTCTGTTGAATTGCAATACTTTTCTATATACTTTTCTAATATGACAGCAGAATGCAAAATTTACTTCTCATTCTTCATTTCCATGAGAACAGAATGATTTTTCTTAATCATCTTTTCTATATGGACAGCATAGATGAAAGTCATGAACTGCAAAAACTTCTTTGCAATAAAAATGGTCAATATATTCCATTGATTTTCAATGCAAAAAATGGCTCTCTTCAATAATATTCCATGAGAACAGAATGCAAAATTTTTCTCATTGCAATAAAAAATGGTCAATATATTTGAGCAATATCAATATCTACTTTTCTATATGACACAGAATGCTCTCTTCACAGCTTAATCATCCTTGGACAGCATAGATGAAAGTCATGAACTGCAAAATTTACTTCTCATTGCAATAAAAAATGGTCAATATATTCCATGAGAACAGAATGATTTTTCTGTTGAATTGCAATATCTACTTTTCTATATGACACAGAATGCTCTCTTCACAGCTTAATCATCCTTGGACAGCATAGATGAAAGTCATGAACTGCAAAATTTACTTCTCATTGCAATAAAAATGGTCAATATATTCCATGAGAACAGAATGATTTTTCTGTTGCAAAATATATGTATCGTCATCAGCTTAATCATGGACAGCATAGATGAAAGTCATGAACTGCAAAATTTACTTCTCATTGCAATAAAAAATGGTCAATATATTCCATGAATGATGAATTGCAATATCTACTTTTCTATATGACACAGAATGCTCTCACAGCTTAATCATCCTTGGAACCTTCTATCTTTTGTAGATCCAAGTAATATCTTTGATTGCTAATAATTTACATCTTTACCTATATATCCAGTCCATGTCCTGCAATCTATTTAAACAAGCTCTTTAAATGTTTTTCTCTGTCACTTTTGCCTTCACCATATCATGTGAGTGTCATATTTTCCAAGCCCTCTTTCCTCATTAAGCATCAAGATATTTTTACAATCTTACTGTTTTTTAGCACATGTCATTTTTGTTTTCATTTTCTTTAATACTTCCTCATTGCTCACATGTTCAGTCCAATCACTACACTCTTGATATTTTCATGTTTACAGTTAACTATTATCTTTCATTTATGAGTTCATAAACTTCACTTCTTGTCTATGGTATGTTCATCCTTCTTCTGTAGAATTACATTTCTCTTGTACTTTCTTTCTCTGTGTAAAAATTGTCTTAACATCCAAATTCTGATGACTAGAATACATGGCAGAATTAGACCCAAAATAGAACAAGAACAGTTTTAAAGACACTGCAATGAAGAATGCAATATTTAATGTTATCAGAATGTTATCAGAAAGTGCAATACAACTGCAAAATGATCTAAACCTATTTTTTTATCATTCTTCTGCATAATCACATTTCTTTTGTCATTTCTTCATCCATGCGAAAATTGTCCCAAATTTACTGACACATAGAAAGGTTGATACTTCATAAGAGGTGAGCACTCTTATCTTTGTTTCCAAGGAAATTTTCCTGTTTCTTAAGATTTTTTTATATTTTTGGAATGCATATTTCCCTATTGCAATGCATCTCTACTTTGTAACTTGCATCTTGGGTTGTCCCTTTTGCTAACAACCATAGATTCCCTCTTCTTACAAGCAATGGCTGGATTTTAGGTACTAGGAAAAACACATATAATTCAGATAAACACTTGATTTCATTAAGAACAGTAATTGAAGAAAAACAGAATTGGTCAATCAGAAGAGTGCTGCCTTACATCAGGATGACAACAAACCACATGTCTCTTTGCTAGGCTGAAATCCATACAGTTAGGCTGAAATGTTCTACTATACTACTTGTTTTAATCTTTACAAAGAACTTCAATTCTCAGAAAGCATGTAAAAGAATTTAGAACTGTTCATCATTCAGAAAGATGCCAAGTTTTAGGAGGCTGGAATCATGAAACTGCCTCAAAAATGGCACAAATAGTCATGAAACAAAATGGCACATACGTGATTCAAAATATTGTCAGTGAAAAATAACTTAAAAATGCTATAATTTTTGTTCTGATCTAATACTTATACTTGATTAGAACAGTGTTGCCTTTGATTCCCAACTATGACTTTATCCACTTAGCTATTTCCTTTGACAGATTTGTGAATAATTTTTATTGTCAATTCTTTCTTTGCACAATAAAACAGTGCAATTGCTTCAAGCATTAGGCTTATGACAAAGCCTGAATTTACTGGAAACAGAAAAATAAATCCAATTCACACATTTTGGCAACATCTGGTTCAATTATTTCGTTATTCTTCTCATTGTCTGCTTATAAGAAAAAAAAAGATGTGCTCTGAAGCAATTTTGGTTTATATCTGAATAGAATTTTGGTTTAATCTCATTGGTGCTTAGATTCATTTTGGTTCCAATGATGATCAGAGAAAATATGATTTTGGGAACAACATTTGACAAGAGAAAGGAATATAAATAAAATTGTAACCTACCAATAAAAGTAAAACAATATTTGATTCTTGAGAACTTTCAGTGGGAGCTGAAAAGATCAAGGTGTGACTCACATCCTAAAATCTGACCAAATGATCAAACATCATAATTCGTGGAGAAAGTGTTCATGATTCAGCCAAGAAATTTTCAGTAACCATCTCCTGCATATATATGTATATATATGTATCAGGTATCTCTGACAAAAAAGTAAGTACATATGTTGGCTTGGTAACCACAATATTATCTTACAGGCCATTTGTCAATAACAAGTTCTACTGCACAGCATTTAAATATATATACCTGCCCACCTTCATTAAAATAATAATGGTTTTATGAACTACCTCATCAATCACCAGATCAGACTATTTCTTTCTGAAGTAACTAATAGTAATACTGAACATACAATCAAAAACATTAACATTAATATTTTCTATAAAGGCCAAATACACGTTAATTATAATAAGCAAGATGAATTTTCTCATAGAAACATTATAAAGAAATACACAACTGCAGTCAACCAGAACAAAAAATTAAATTAATTATCTACTATAAAAATTGAAAATAGCTAACTTTATTGACAATAACAACACACCACCCACAAGATCTAAATTACAGAGAATCAATATTATTTATGAATTCACATCTTCCATAAGGAACTGTATTTCTAATTAAACCAAACTCATGAATAATTATATTGGACATACCACTACATGCCTAACAAGAAGACTCACTTTACATCTCTCTGACCATAGCTTAATTAAGATCCATTTAAATACACATGGGAACCGACCAAACTCTATTTGCAGCATACTTGTAGAAAATACAAAGATAATAGCCTCATCAGCATGTAAAAAAGACCAAAGCTAATAGAAGCACTAATAATAAAAATGAAAAAGCCAACACTCAATAAAATCAACTATGATCATGGCCACAATTTCCTGACAGTGTTTGGAAAATGAAAAATTTCTAAAACTCTAGGTACATACATAAAAATAATTCATACACCCTGGATAAAGGCTAAAAAAATTGCCAAAAGTGCTCAGATATGCAGAACATTTGGACAATTTTTACACATTTTATGTCCAGAAAAAAAAACACTTATAAAAATAAAAATAAAATAAAAAATGAAAAATAAAAAATAAAAATGAAATAAAAAGCTTAATTACACTATCTTGTCAGTTAGCATCAGTACCTGCGGTCTGATACTTGAGGGATTCTTTCTCTATTATTTGCTCTGCCAATCCAAAACCTATTTTCATAAGTCACAGCCCAACTGCACCATACTCCAATGACTCTATGTGACAATACAACTTCTAAAATCAGTTCAGTTCTTAAAAAATGCAGACATTGAAATAAGTAAAACTTAAAATTCAAATTTCATTCTTTTTAAATTTTACTGTGAAAAAAAATGAAAGAGTTGATTTTATGCTAAATTCTTCTTTCATATATTTTACCACTTTGACTGAATGAAATTGGAATTGAGATTCTTGCAGCCTTAGATGATTTCAGAATTGACAAAATTACAGACACAGTAAATGAAATGTACAATGGTAAGGAAATAAGTAGATTCATTTTCATAGCACTGTT